GAGGTACTCTGGATGAATTCAGCTTCTTTTCATTATCCTATTTAAGCCACCTCAATCTTAGTTGGAACATTCTTAAATGTAGAATCCCCAAGTCCATTAGCACTCTTTCGAACCTTAGTGTATTGGATTTGGGCAGCAACATATTTACAGGTTCGGTGCCAGTGGAGATTGGCAATCTTACAAAGCTCTGCTTTATTTCTCTCAGAACCAACAGCCCCTCCGGCCCAATCCCTTATCAACTTGGTAAACTAAAATAGGTAAGATTCCTGTGAAAGAAAGACCTATGTGATCTTATCGAGGAATAACATTTTTTATATATATATTTATTTCACCCCTTTTGTTTTGGCAAAAGATCACTAACAAGTAATCTTATTACAATAAGATATACTTCAAAATAAATTAACATAACAATAAAACCAATATCTTAAAACTTGATGCTATTTAAATAGCTATGCACTATGCTTGAGAATATAAAGATAATATTGCAAGAAATAAAAGTGAAGAGTGTCAGAGATTACCTCAACCAGGCACCCTACATCGAATCACCACTATCTGATGGCGCGGGATCGACGATCTAGCTTCAATCTCAAATCGAGAAAGCCAGTTTGGGCCAAACCAATTTTATGAAACCCTTTCAGAACTTATCAGAGCCAGATCCTAACCCCAAGCCAAGGCTTATTTTGAAAAATCCCATACTACCAAACCCTTAGGCTTATTCAAGATGAGAGAGATACTTAGGAGGTAGCCAAGGGTTGGGGCGTGCCCCTCTAGATATAGGCTAGGAGAGAGAGTGGTCTAGAGGGAGAGAGGGTCTTGAGAGGGAAGAGAGAGAAAGTCTTGAGAGGGAGGAGAGAGAGTGTAGCATGCCACTTAAAGAGAGAGACAAGAGAGAGAAAAGAGAGATGGGTTGAGAATCGGGGGTACACTCCTATTTATAATACAAAATTGGGTTTAGGGTTTCTCAGAGTTTGCCTCTAATTGAGATTGAATGTGGACCGTCGATCAAGGGTGACTTGTGGAGTGAGAGATCTGAGCCATCAACATTATGGAATGTGCATTAACCATTATTCCTTTTTCTTAAACAATTTTCCCATCAATAGAAATTAGGTCAAATTAATTTCAATGAAATATTCTGCATTTCATAAAATAACACAAGCCTACTCATATTTTCCATAAAATCTTTCAAAACATATCAAGTTAATATATTGTCAATATTTGCTTAACCACAAGGCAATCTTTGACTTCAAATCAAGATTGACTATTACCAAATTATAAAAAAAAAAAAAAGGGATCTAAAGAGGGTGGGGCGTGCCACCCATGAGGAGGCCTCACGGGCCCCACCTTCTATAAAATGGTGGGCCCATGTGTACAATGGGGCCCCCATGAAATTTTATTTTATATTTAAATTACTGAAAATAATTTTAAAATATTTATTTGAATATTTAAACTATTGTAAAATCAATATCTTTAATTTTACAAATCCAAATTTTATAAATAAAATATCCAGACATTCATAAAAATTTAAATAATAATTTTAAAATAATATTTACCATAAAACAAACATAATTAAATTAATTTGATGGGAAATGGATCCATATGGCTTAGGAATTAAATCATCAATTATGGGGCACTCCACCTTCAACTGTGGACTATAGACTACACTTGCTTTATCGAACCAACCTAGTATTTCCCATGACCCACAGTCCAAGCAGGTACTCATTAGTGGGTCACCAAAGTTTAGCCAATGAGTTAAAGGGTCGCAATCCCAGTATGTGGATTTCAAGTCCTCCTCTAGAGACGAGTCAAGGTCACCTAAACTTGATGCGACCACAACTCCTTTGGTACATGGGAATATCTCTCGCATATGCATATGCTTCACCCTGAAATGTGGCTTACTTTTTTGAAACGATCTATCAATATGCATGCCGTATGATAGTACATAAATGAGGCTTTGCCTCTTGTCTATGTAGACCACAATCACATACAAAGATCACACAGTCCCTTGGCTTACTCATTCTAGCATACTGCGACCTCATCAAGGGGTGACCCATTAGAACCCTTATCGGTTGATATTCTATGCCAAGTAACATGGGTTTGTTCCAACCAACTGGCCTAGACCGTCAAGCACAGATTTGTAGCTGCAAATACTATTTACATAGTATGGTCCATGAGGGACCACACTCCCACTGAGTTTGTATACCACTATTTCAGATGTTTTATTACAATCACTCATAAGGCCTTTAATGGCCGCACAAACCCAACATCCTGGATTTTGAAAAAAACCACTCGACTTCTCTCGACACAACAAGATTTCTGAACATTACTTACCTTTCTCTACATGATAATTCTTTAGCAGAGTTCCCAACCTTCATTTTTGGATGCAAGAATTTGGTACACATGGATTTATCGCGGAATTCAATAATTGGCCCCATTCCATTTGAGTTCAAGTAGCTAAAAAAATTGCAAGAACTCATGCTACATGGCAATAATTTTACAGGTTCAATTCCTCGTGAGATTGACTTAATCTCTAGTCTCCGAACACTCAATTTGAGTTATAATTCTTTTATGGGTGGACCCATCCCAGCATCGCTTGGGCAACATCAGGCTCTGGAGACTTTACACCTCGCCAAGTTAATTAAGGAGTAGACTCTATATAAAGTTTTTATTTTAATTATATAGTGATTTACGTATGGATCTGAAAATTTTTCCAAAAATACCAAATACTCTGTTTATCGGTAGAAATTACAAAAGAAGGTCGGTCAAGCCACGTTTTTATTTTATTTTTTTCAAAATTAGCCCATCCTTTGACCCAATTTTAATTTTTTTTTTAGTTTTTTTGTTAGTTTTAATTTTAGTTTTAGTTTTTTTTGTTAGTTTTAATTTTAGCTTCCCTACTTAAGAAAAAACTAAAAAACTAAAGTTAAAATTCGGTCAAAGGATACACTCTCCTCAGACTCATCCTAGGACCGATGGACAATTTTAAAGAAAAAGCACGGTCGACCGACTTTTTTTGTAATTTTTACCTGTAAAGCATTTAGGAGAAATTTTCGGGTCCATAAGTAAATGGAGGGAGACCTCAAAAGTCATGACTATGATACATCCGCATGTCCTGTTATGAGATTTTGAGGTGAATGGAGAGAGAGATCTCAGCAAAAGAATAATGCCGGTCCACCCAAAGAATAATATGAAAGAGGGATAGTAGGCCAAAAACAGGTAAAGTCTACGTCGAAATTTGACATAGCATTCACATCATCCTCACACTCAATACTTTTGGAGCACATTCTATGCACAATCTAGTAAGCAACATTAAGAAGCCATGGAAATGGTTCTGAGATTTCCAATCCTTATCCTTTTTATCACATTTACCTTGGTCCTTCTCATTCAATCCTCTGGTTCGCCGACGGTTGAATTAGAAGCCAAAGCATTGCTCAACTGGAAAACCAGTCTGATAAATCAGAATCTTGACTCATGGGTTTTCGGCGCTGACAACAAGACTGGCCATTGTGAATGGTTTGGTATACGTTGGAACCATGGCGGAAGGATAATCGAGATTAAGCTCTCAAATTTCAGTCTGAATGGGACTCTCAACCAATTGAACTTCTTATCATTGCCCAATTTAACCCGCCTCGAACTCAACTTGAACTATCTTGAAGGTAAGATCCCAATGACCATCGGCACTCATTTCAAAACTCAGGTTCTTGGATTTGGGTCTCAAACAATTTCACTGGTTTGGTGCCTATGGAGATTGGTAATCTCACTGAGCTCCATTTCATTTCTCTAGAAGACAAATGGCTCAACGGACCAATTCCATACCAACTTAGTTATCTGCAAAAGTGCAAAAGGTACAGCACCTGGGCCTCGGGGCAATCTTCTTGACATCCCCCGACTCTTCGAGAAATTTTTGGAATGGCATCGCTCACAAAACTATCCCTAGTTTTATATTCCCTCACATATTTCCCAACCTTCAATTTCCAATATAAGAAGTTGGTTTACTTGGATTATCCCTGAATGAGCTCAATGGTTCGATCCCAAATCAAATATTTTTTATCTCAGTGACCACAAGTTCCTCAATCTCTCTATCAATTTCTTTCAAGGCCTCATCCCGACTGAACAAGGCCTCATCCCGACTGAATTTGGTGTTGAATGGTGATAGAGAAGGTCTCATTCCAACTAAAATTCGTGTTGAATGATTCGTGTTGAATGGTGATAGAGAAACAACCTTTTGGATGCTTTTGTATTTTTGCTTTGATTTGAGATTTTCATTGGGTTGTATAAAAGCCAAAAAAGGAATTTTTTTTTTTTTTGAGATAGACAATTTTCTTGGTTTGAACTCTTATCTCTCTCTAGAAAAGCATCTTTCTAATTTTCTCTCATGACTCTGTTTTCATCGTTAATTTATTTTTTTAAATGGTTGTACATGATCTTTGATCATATTATTGGATTATCAATTTTACATATTCGGTATTGAGTGTGTGATATTCGGTAATCAGTTAAATTAGGGGTTTCGGGTATTCGAATCTCCAACATTTCGTAATCTTGCGAAAATAGAGTATCTTGCGAAACTAGAGGATCTCGTATTAGGTGAGAACAATCTCACAGGCACAATTTTTCATGATATCGGTTTAACCTCTAGCCTTTGAGTACTTGAGCTCTATAAAAACCCACTGGAACCATCCCTGCATCTCTAGGACAAATATATGCTCTAGAAAGACTGGACCTTCACAAATGTGGATTGAATTTTAGGATCCCATCTGAATTGGGGCAATGCACAAACGGGAGATTCTTAGACTTGGGTCACAATAAACTCTCTAGTTCTTTACCACCATCATTGGCTTCCTTTCACAGAATTGAGGATCAGGATATTGGTGGCAATTGGATTATAGGCGAAATCCCTGGCCATTTTTTTTTCCAATTGGCCCGATCTTGTTAGTTTGCAACTCCAGGAAAACTTGTTTGTAGGACCAATCCCATCGTATGAAAAAGCTTGGCTTCTTATACAGATTTACAAATCAAATTTCTGGATCAATACCTCCTGCGATATGGCATCTCATAGATTTTACGGAATTGGATCCTTCAGATAACCTGCTTGATGGTTCTCTTCCTTCCTCGATTGGAAACCTAACAAAGCTTACTATGTTGAACCTATTCGGGAACAAGCTAACAGGAACTCTACCTGTTGAGATAGCGAATCTCAAATCCATAGTAACCATTGACTTGAGTGAAAATAGGTTTCAAGGCCCATTTCCGAGCAGCATATCTCACCTAAGAAGTCTAGGGCTTTTCTACATATTCAGCAACAACTTCTCTGAAATATTCCACTGGATTTTGGCCAAAATAGTTATTTAGTAAATGTCAGCTTTTCAAACAACAGCTTCTCAGGTGCATTGCCCCCACAAATTTGCAAAGGCAAGAAGCTAATATACTTTATGGAATCGTATGACTGGGAATTTTTCAGAGTTTTCATCCAAATACCCACATTTGGATTTCTCGTCTTCGTCTGCAAATAAACATTGGTGAGCTCATTCCTAATCTAGGAACTTTACTCCTTTCCAATAACCGGGTTAAGGGAACCATTCCCACCTCCATAGGGAGCATGATGAATTTGGGAGTTCTCAGTCTTTCTAAGAATGAATTGACAGGAGTTCTTCCTGCTAGCTTAAGAAACCTCGTAGGTCTTCGTTCTTTGCGCATGGCTAACAACATGTTACAAGGTGAGATCCTGTTCTCATTGAAAAATTGTTCGAAATTAGAGTCTTAATCTAGGCGAGAATCAAATATCAGGAATATTCCATCTTGCATTGGTGAGATTTCTGCACTTCGTATTCTCCGTCTACGATCTAACAGGTTGGTGGGAACCATTCCCCCAAACATGAAACTGCTCACTTCTCTATAAGTACTGGACATTGCTGGAAACAATCTAATTGGCACAATCCTGGGCATTTTTGAGAATCTCACTGCAATGATCATTAAAGATGCAAGAAAAAGCATGAGCATAACTGCTTCGTATTACTTTGAGAGTAAAGGTATCGTAATAAAAGGAAAAATGCTGGAATTTAAGGGGTCTCTTTTCTTATAACTCTAGACATCTCGAATAATAATTTATCAGGGGTGATTCCTGAAGAACTAACAAGGTTGATAGGCTTTGTCGTGTTCAACCTGTCAAGAAACCATTTCAGGGGTAAGATTCCTGAGAACATTGACAGATTGCAAGAACTCGAATCACTGGACTTATCAAGCGGCATCCCTCCAAGTATGTCATCCATGGCATTCTTGAGCTATTTGAACTTATCCTAAAACAATTTGTCAGGACTCATTCCCTCTAGTGGCCAAATGAGCACATTCGATGCAACAGCATACCATGGGAACAAATATCTATGTGGTTCTCCGCTCCCCAAAGAGTGTTATGTGTTGATACGTATGGTTATGAGGTCTTACGTGTCGTAGCCTACATTTGTGGGAATTAAATATATCCAACGGTCATATGAACGTAACCCCTCTTTTTTCTCCAAGACTCATTGGGGATCAGGGAACCCCTTCGTTTTTTTAAAGACCCATTGGAGAAATGCTACGGTTACCCTTCTTCTCCCTATAAAATGGGAAGCCAGATAGAGGACGTGTACAACAATGAAAAGACGTATAGTTCTTCTCTCTACAAATCAAAGGGATCAAAATCCGGGCCCTGCAATCACCAGCCTCACAACCTCCCTTCTCTGATCTCAGGTATTGTCTTATACGTGCTCCATCAATTTTGCTAACACTGGTATTAGAGCGATCCAAGTTCCTATATTTGTTTAGGTGTTATATTTTTTCATGAATTTCTATATATATATATAAATATATATATATATATTCCAGCAAGTTTTGGTCCTGACAAATGCAAATCATGTCCAGCATGTTGCTGTAAATTTTGTTTAAAAAAAAAAAAAAAAGCCAAAATTTCGGATAAACTCCAAAGTCTCTCTCTATATGACTTAATCATTGCGAAGAGTAGCGAGTGGAATCAGTTAGAGAGAGAAAATTCAAGGCCATCATCTTATACTGTATCCATATATCTTCAAGCCTATCTTTTAATGGCGAGGCATATGTGAAGTATATGTTTCATCTCATTCAAGTTTATCCGTAATATATTCGACCGCTACCTTGGCGCGAGGCAACCATTTTTTCTGCCCTCTGAAACTTGCGTATGTCAACCAAGATATATATATATATATATTGCCGTGCTACTTTCTTTGGCAGTAGAAAAGCCCACTGTCCACAGGCCATGTCGCTCTAGGTGAGGCCCATATCCTTGCAAATTTCAAAAGTAACTTATAGAGAGAGAAAGAGCCATGTCAGTTTCGTAACAGGTCACCATGACCTTGATTATTCTAATTGAACATTGACGTGTTGTGGTTTTTCATTCCTCGACTTACACTTCCCCATAAGACACTCAGGAAATTCATGTGGATCATGCGTATATAAAACATATAAGGGCAATAAATTTCCAATTCACTTTCTTATGTGATCTTAATAGTCAAGAGCTGCGAATCTTGAAATCTGAACCGTTACTATGGCGCACAACTTGCATCCAATAGTCATGCGATAACACTTTTGAGTTCCAAGAAAGTAACGGACGTAATAATCATGTGTGCGTCCACAATGCTCAATGTCTATTCAATTATCGGGAGATTCACCAGAGAACCAAAAGTATTAATGCACTACTGTTTTCGTGTGATATAGAAATTGATACTTGATTTTTGTTCTTTTATTATATAAGGGCTCATAGATTGCACCCTTGATAAATAAAAATTGATATTTGACATTTGTTCTTTTATTATATAAGGGCTCATAGATTGCACCCTTGATAACTAACTTTGGGGAAGAGTAGGGGTTTTGAACCTGACATGAATTGAACAAGCAACCTTCTTATCTGGAGTCAGACACACTACCATTCCGTCAGTGCGTGGTTATAGTCTTTTTTTTTTTTGGAAATTGCCTATTTAATAATTTTTTTTGAAGGCATCAATTAATAACTGACATTATTTATGAAATAATTCCAGCTCCCTCTATACCAGTATTGACCACATATTAAATTTTGGGGCTTTGTTTAGCTTCTTTAGTACTTAGAAAGAATTAGTTTGCTCACACAAAACTTAGCAAGTGGCCATTAGAATTGTAATGGTTGAAGTTTCTAAAGTTGAGAAATTGAATGGAAACAATTTTGGAATGTGAAAGAGAAAGATGAAATATCTCCTCATCCCAAGATAGGATAATATATGTATTAAAGGAAACAATCTACATGAAGCAACCAAGAAGGCTTCATATGGTTTAAAACAATTAAGTAAATAAATCTGAGGGCTTCATAATTAAAGGTCAAGAAAATAAAGTATACAAATTAAATAAATCTTTATATATTTTAAAACAATCTTCAAGACAGTGATACTTAACATTTCATGATGTTACCCTACAAATGGGATATGAAGTAAATAGATTGGATCATTGTGTGTATATCTTGAAGAGTGGGAATAAATTTACAATACTCTTATTATAAGTAGATGATATCTTTATAGCTGGAAATGACTTAGAAATGATTGATAAGACTAAGTTATGGCTTTCTTCTCGGTTTAAGATGAAGCATATGAGAGAAACATCTTATGTTCTAAATATAAAAATAACTAGAAATAGAAAATAAAAAATGTTGTAATTGAGCCAAGAGAGATATCTTGACTCTGTTCTTAAAAGATTTCAAACGAAAAATTGTAAGTTATTGTCTACTCCTGTTAAAAAGGGAGTAAAGTTGTCCAAGAAGGAGAAGGACAAGAAAAGTCTAACATTCCCTATGCACAAGCTAGTGGTAACTTAGTATACGTAGTAAGATGTACAAGACCATATTTGAGTAATGCCGTAGGACTTGTTAATAGATATCAAAGTAATCTATACATAAAAAAACATTCTAAGGTACATTAAGGGAACAAAGCATCTAAAATTATGTTTTCAAGCAAATAAGCATGAAGTTATATGATATTCAGATGTTGATTTTGATGGGAATAATAATGATAGTAAGTCCACCTTAGGATATATTTTCCTCTTCAGAGGTGCAAATGTTTCTTGGTCTAGCAAGAAACAAGGATGTGTAGCTAGATACACATAGGAAGCTGAATACATTGCATATAATAATGCTTGTACTTTTGTCATCTGGATAAAGCGCTTCATAAACAACTTGAAGCTGCAAATAATTGACAGACTGATCGGAATATTTTGTGATAATCAAGTTACAATTAAATTAATTTAAAGTGAAGCAAATAACTCTAAAGGAAGACATATAGATGTCCAATATCACTACATTCAAGATGTAGTTGAAAAAGGTGAAGTAATTGTTAGTTATTTGTCCTCATCATATATGATTGTTGATCCATTAACAAATGGTCGAAGTGTTGAACTACTATCTAAGCATACTAACTTAATGAGACTTAAAAATGTTTAAGTCAGTCAATTTTAATGAGTGACAAATCTGCATTAGCGTGAAAATTCTCATGCTAGACGTTTGTTATGAGAGGCATATCTGCAAAAGCGTTAGAAAGACCTCATGACAAGATATTTTCTTAAAGGTCATACTCAAAAGTGAGTATACATGTGCCTTATTATGTTCGGCCTTCATAGCCAAGTGGGAGATGTTGACATGTATGGCTATGAGGCCTTACGTGTCTTAGCGTACATTTGTGGGAATTCAATATATCCAACGGTCATATGAACATAACCCCTCGTCTTTTTCAGAGACCCATTAGAGATCAAGGAACCCCTTCGTTTTCTCAGAGACCTGTTGGAGAAATACAACGGTTACCCCTTCTTCTTCCTATAAAATGAGAAGCCAACGAGAGGATGTGTACAATATTGAAAAGACGTATAGTTCTTCTCTTTCTACAAAGTGAAGGGATCAAAATCCGAGCTCTGCGATCACCAGCCTCACGGCGCCCCTTATCTAATCTCGTGTATTGTCGTATACGCGCTCAATCAATTTTGCTACCATTATGGTGATAAATCTGTTCAAAATTTGAGCAAAGATGAGGATATCGAAAGTGGCTCAATGAAGTTTCCATGGTTTTGGATGAGTGTGGCTTTGGGATTCATATTTGGATTTGGTGGGTTTTTCTTAGTTCTACTTGCTAAAGGGCTATGAACTGCCAGGCTCTTCAAATTCATGGATGGCATTGTTGAATCTTTTGTTTCAAAGTTGTAAACATTGATTGGCAAATTGTAAGTGGTAATCTGTTGGATTTGTGATGCAGCCATACCCCAGCCGATAGTTTGCGGCTGAGCCAAGAAGGGTCGTAGGATCTAAGAGGGAAAGAAAGGGGCAATGATGTAATAAGGGGGATTATTGTGGTTATTCTTTTGTTAAAAATAGGGAGTACAAAAGGATAATTAACTGGGCATTTTCAAATATGGGAACCATGACCTTCCAAGATGGACTTCTCTGATAACCATGGAACTTCCCAACAATCAATTGTCATGCCATCCCCAATAACCCATTGAACAATATAGCGTAAAAGAGACAACCTTGTTTGAATATCTTTCCATGCATAAGAGCATGTCTTTCTGTTGACTTCCCAGATAGAGAAGGTCCTAAAATGCTCGTGCTTAAAGAAACGGGTAATAAGAGAAGACGGGTTATCCAAAATCCTTGATGCTAATTTCATCATGCCTGCATTGTTGAACTCAATAATATCATGAATTCCAAGAGCCCCCTCTTCCATTGGCAGATATACATTTTTCCATTTTACAAAGTAAACCCCCTTCTTATGAGCTATACCAGTGCATAGAAAATTTCTTTGAAGCCTCTCGAACACATTACATGTGCACCTTGGCAAAATAAAAGATAAAATCTAATAAATGACTGATGAGCTTAGCACCGATCTCAACAATTGTAAGCAGCCTGCATAAGAAAGGGATAAAGCCAGCCATGATCCTATCTTGTCAATAAATTTTCAAATGTTCATAGATTTGCAAAATTTTTTGAGGTTTCAATTCCATAATAGAGGTAAAAAATAGACTCTTAGGCCATGATGAGAGTTTCGACACTGAAAATATACCATTTAACGAAATTTTGAGGTGCACATTACTGTGCTTGTTTAAGGTCATCACCTTATACCAACCTCGCCCTTTCTTAATTGTTATTAACTTGGACATGGTCAAATTTATACCTCAGGGCCATGTAAAAATTCAAAGTACGGGGATTGAATGTGGGGATTTTGTGTTTCACGTGGCACCTCTATAACACGTCTTGGTGAACCATGGTTGGAATTTATTCTCACGAGTAGTTGGAGGGTCTAAACATAAGAGTTTTCAATATTTCGAGGCATTATATTGTTGTGATATTTTAAATTTCGGACTGCATGCAAAGGCGTTGTTTGATGTTTTAAATGGCGGACCACTCTAAAAATAGTTATGTTTCATATTTTTGCCAG